GGCCTGCTGACTTGTACCCATCCAGCTCCTCCAGGAGCTCCTTAACTATTTCAGAACTAACCATAGACAGATTGGTACCATGTGGACGTCCATCAGTGATCGAGGTGGGGGAATTGGCTTGGTCAGTACGTAGAAATACTGAAGCAAAGAACTCACTGAAGAGCTCTGCTTTTTTTCCCTGCGTCAACCACCAACTGTCCTGATTTGTCCTGCAGCAGCCCTATGTTCCTCTGAGCGTTCCTTTTACCCGCTGTGTACCTGAAGAAGGACTTTTTATTGTCCTTGATTGTTGAAGCCAGCCTGAGCTCGAGACCCGTCTTGGCCTGTCTAACTGATTCCCTGCAATAGTGCACCAGGGAGAGAGATTCCTCCTTGGTGGCTGCTCCCTGCTTCCATTGCCTATACATCTCTTTCTTTGCCCCCAGACTCTCCTGGAGTTCCCTGTTCAGCCAAGGGGGCTTTTTTGAGCTATCACCATTTGTGCTATTGAATCCCCATCCTGCATTTTCATTTCTTTGGCTGGGCTCTCAATCCTAAGTAATTTAACTTCAGCAGTGGTATAAACATTGAATAATATTATCTTGGGTATTAATCCCTTACAGTCAAGAGAATTAAAAGCAGGAGACTTGCACTGCTTCAGCTGTGGAGTCCAGCTGGAATCAAGAGACAGAATGTACCTTAAGCTGGCAGCCTTGGTTTCTTTAGGTGTACAGATTTTGGTGTTGGGGTTTGTCAAGTTTGTACTAGGGTGCCTGCTGTACCTCCTGGCCCTCATGAAGTGATTATTTCATCTCATCAATATCTACATATTTGAAGACACATATGAATCCAAGATGAGTTTTGCAATGCTGTTTGTTGGGAAAGCTTCAGCAGCATTCTTCCCCTTTCCATCCCACTAGTTGAAAAATGTCAGTGAGCAGTACAAAGTGTGTTTCTACAGCATCAAAAGTACATGGTACTTTCCTTTAAATGGCACATGGTAACCGTGTGCATTTAAAGGAAAATGGCTCCTATCCTAGAATTCTTGGAACATTTCAGACGGAAGTCACTGATCTCTATCGTTTGTTGTCTTAAGTGAATGATAAAACTCATGTTTTGTGTCTAACTATCTTTAAGAAAGTGTTGAGTGTTAACTAGTGATATTTTAAAAATAGTAAATTGACTCAAACTCCTTTTTAAATGTACAGGAAACTATTTCAGACAACTGTGTGGTGATTTTCTCTAAAACAACGTGTTCTTATTGCAAAATGGCAAAGAAGCTGTTTCAGGATATGCATGTAAATTACACAGCAGTAGAATTAGACATGCAAAGGAATGGAAGCCAGCTCCAAGAGGTTCTTCAACAAATGACTGGTGGCAGGACAGTGAGTATATCTTCTCTGGTATAATGAAGGCCACACACACAAATTGTACCCCATTGACTGTGACCTCACCAGATCTTGCATGCCAAGCAAGGTTAAACCTGGAAATTAGCTCCCAATTAAACTGAGGATCTCTCTTGTTCTTCGTGATACTGACCTAAAACCCCATGGCAGTGTAACTTACTGTGCTGTTAGTAACACTGTCTTTTGAGTGGTACTTTATAAAGACCTTTTAAGCCATAGACACACAATCAAAAACACTTGGAGCCATGACCCATTTGCAAGATTTTATTCCCATGTGTTGAGAATTTTAGTAATTGTATTCTGCTTATGTGACATATCTCTGTAACTTCATTTGAATCACTTTTTTCACTGATTATTCAAAAATTATCTGCAGTGACACCATCTTTTGAAGAAAAGGTAAACATTGAAGCATTGCAGGATGCTCTTTAGGGAAGTTTATGTTGGAAATGCTAACATGTTACAGGTTAACATTAAATATAAGACTAGGAATGTTGTATATTTTTCATGGTAGTAGGCTTAAGCATACTCCTTTTTTTTTTTTTTTTTTGTACTAACAGGTTCCAAGAGTGTTTGTCAATGGGTCTTGTATTGGCGGTGCTACTGATACTCAGAGGCTTCACCAGGAAGGGAGGTTACTTCCACTAGTCCATCAATGTCAAATGAGAAGAACAGAAAATTCTGAACAGCCATGTAGTCTACCTTAGCTTTGTTTTCAAAGGTGCCCTGTATCTAGAAGAAAAACATCTAAAAACCATTTTTAGACCCCTAACTAAGAGACCATTAGAACTGTTGAGACTCATCATAATTGAAAATCAAGCCATTGATCTTGGAGCTTAAAGATGGACTTAAATTCCAGTTTTCAGGTGTCTAGACTTGATCATATTGGCCAGCTGTGTACTGGAAGAAACAGGACTTTGAAATCAAGGTTTCCTGAGTTGTAAATCGTCTTTGGCACACACTTTATGGGCGTGGATAAGTAATCTAATTTTCTTGCTCTAGCTTCATCAGATACCATGGTAAAACCCCCAGTGTATGTTAACTAGTGGTTGGTTTGTTTTTGTGTTTTTTAATTGCAGAATTTTGAAGGTGTAAAAGACTATGTACGCTTTAAATACGAAGTAAGCTAGAAAGTGTTACACCAGGGGTGTCAAACTCATCTGGGCCTAGTGATCAGGTTAGTGGCAGAGATTGTTCACGGGTCAAGTGGGCCAAGACAGGTACCACATGTAGGTAATGCTCGACTGGCCAGGGCAGGTGCCATGCACTGCCCAGTCTCAGACCAGCTGAAGTAGGAGTGGTGTGTGATGCAGGAGTTGGTCTAGTGTGCAGTATGTGCAGCATGTAGGTCAACTCCAAGCCCTAGCGACAGCACTAGGGACTGGATGATGAGGCTCAGTGAGCTGAATCCAGCCCACAGGCCAAATCTTTGATACCACAGTGCTATACCAACTTATGTGAAATACATAACCTGTTAAACTTGAACTGCACATCCTCTGCAAAGCATCCATTCATTTCTATAGGTTCTTACAAGATTTTGAAAGTTCCAATAAGCTGTAGTTCAGGCTAGTTTGATACACTCTCTAGCTAGTTTTACTGTAATTGAATTAGAATAATCTTTTTTCCAAGTGTTTTGTCTAAAATCAAGTCAGTGATAAAATGGAATTCTTCTGTATCTTAAATGTATCGCATTGGAGACAGTAAAGAGCAACATGCTGAAATATTTCTGCACATATTAATCCTGCCATTGCTGTGTGACTTTCTTTTTTCCATTATGTCTATAGTGTTTGTACCATGCAGTTTTATTCTTATTAAAGGCAATTTGATCAGCTGCAAACAAGGGTTTTTTAGTGATGTGTACATATTCTCAAATTAAATTGGAAACAGCTGTTTTCATATAGATTCTATCCGAATCTCTAAAATATTGTACTAAAGTAGATAAAGGTATAGCCTCTGGAAGCCAGCTTTTGTAAACCTACAAAAATGTAGTTTTGCAATATTTACCTTTTTAAAAGATCGAGAAGAAAACTGCAATACTGACTACAAGCCCTTGCAATATTGCATCACATTTTAATCTGGTTCATATGTGAATGCCTAATTGGCTACTATGGACTGGAACATTCTTGTACAAAACAGCATTCTGAAAAAAATAGCTAGGGCTTCTTGGGCCGTGTCCAGATGAGCATGGACTTGCAGTATGTGACACCACAGACACATTTCTGGTACCACGTATCACATGTTCAGTTCTCTGCACTGCAAGGAAGCAGCGTGGAGAATTTTTTCTGACCCCTGGGTATCCAGGGGTAAAAAAAAAAAAACCTGCTGGAAAAAGAAGCGGAGTGGCACACGCAGGGACGGCGTGTACAACTCAAAACCAGAGCCGGGCTAGCCGGAGCTGTGCTGTAGCTGCCTGCCAGGCTACGCGTGGCAGAATCGCTGCTGCTGCAGCCCCGGGATGCCCCCAGGATCCCAGGTACGGTTACTGGGTCCAGCCCAGTGCTGGCCCTAGTCTTCCCTACCCGCCCCCACCCCGGCGCGGCAGGGTAACTTGTCACGTGCCAGGGTGCACATGGCACGGGCATTCACTGGGGACAACTAGTGTTGGCACAATATGTGCCACTGCTAATTGTCCCAGGGTAACCAAATGTCTACACCATGTGTGGATGCAGCCTTGGGGTATATCTGTACTACAGGGATTTGGGAGCGGGGCTTAAGGGTCTGGGGGCACAGGTAGTGTTCTCGTCGATCCTCCCAGTCTCAGGCTATGGGCTGAGAAGGGACAGGAGGATCTATGTGGTCAACCAAAGACTGCAGCGCTGGTGTCGTCAGGAAGGCTTTGGCTTTCATGACCACAGCCCGCTCTTTGGCAAGAGAGGCAGCGAGCTGCTGGGAAG